ATGAGATAGCTAACCTGAAGAAGAGTCTGTCCTGTTAATAGCCCCACCAACAAGCCCAGTCCAATTAAGAGGTACCCCACACCCAATTTACCTCCTGCCTAAACTGAAACCTATATAAGCTTTGTCCTTTCCTTACTTTGGTTCGGGTGGGGCTCCCACATTATCAAGCTCCATGAATCCCTGTTGGTTCTTAAACTGCTGGTTCTGGCTCTATTTCTGGTTCCAGTTTGTTATGGCACCAACAATTTTACCCACACCATCCTCCCTCCTGCCAGTAATGCAATCCCTACCCACTATGTCCCAGAATCTCTAATTTCCTTCGAAGCTCAATTCAAGTGTTCCTTCTAAGCGAAGGTTTTCCTGATTCCTTACTAGTGGCCTACCCCAACCATTACCTTGAAACCCTTTGCATATATGTGTGTGTGTATATCTTATGTATACTTTTATATTTATGTTATCTCCTCCCAATACAATATAAACTCTTTGAGGGCAGGAACTGGTATTTTTCTCCTTATGTGCCTAGCACCTAGTCTGGTAACTGTCTGACATTTAATGAATGCCTTGTTGGTTGATAACAATACCAAAAATCAACATAGAGAACGCATGGTAACCAACACAACATTTAGCAGATAAATCCTAGGGTTTTGCCAAAGGTAAACTATGAATAATTGACTTGTCTAGTAAGAAAAAGCTAATAGGCATCAGAGTTAGGATCTGAACCCAGATCTTTCTGACTGTAAACTCAGATATCCAATACACCATTCTCCCTCTGTTCCAGGAAATATACATTACAAAATCCAGCAGATTTGATACTTATTGAAGATGAATAACTATTTTGAGCAAAACAACATAATTATTATATTGAGAAAGTCTACTGATTATAATTACCTAAGCAGTATCTAACACAAATGCTGCACCAATAAATAGAAAATCAAATCAATAAGGTCATCTTTCCTCTAAGTAATGGAAAAGTAATTTGTCCCTGATAAGAAATGTTAGTCATCAAAGTGAAGCTTATACCTCCTTTTTTTAGGTTTATACAAACTCTTACAGACATCAAAACCGGCTTCTTGAACTGTTTTTAATTTTCATCATTTCCACCCTTCAATGATTCCATGGTCTCTCCTCACTTGGTCCTCCCTCCAATCATGCTGAGATCAGAAACTAATCCTCCAGAACCTAATCCATGTCCTCCTAACAAACTCTTTAAAGAGTACCCCAACCCTGGGGTACTTTTTTAACATTACATAGGGACCAGAACAAAACTATACATTTGTTACCTCTTGCTCTAAGTTCATAGCACTTATAAATATTACACAGTTGTCACACATAGCACTTGAAAGCATATCAAAGTTAACCTCAGAAGGCTGCTTTGGAAAGGGTACTCTAAGAATTATTATCCCCATTTTACCGATGTTGAAATAAATCCGAAAATGTTAGACGTCTTATTCAGCTAGTAAGTATCAGTGCTAGGTTTTCAATCTAGGTCTCTCCTAACTTGAGAAAGTCCACAAGAAAAGCCAACACACGTTCTTATATACCACACTTTAGACTAAATAGTACTGTTTTAAGTAAAACTGTAAGATAAGCTAATTAGCCAGAAGAGACTGAAAATGTAACCAGTGATGCTCATATGACATCACCACTGGGTTGGATACATGAAAGAAGGAAAACTAGGATAGTTAATAAAACATCAATATAACATACACCCATATGGGACAACAGAGTAGCAAACAGATTAGTCTGTCAACCAGCCATGAGCTTTAGGCTTATTCTTTTCAAACAAGGCTGACCATGAGATGAAGTAGGGTCCTGATTGTTTGGATAGGGTGTAAGATGTTCAAATCTGTGACTCATCACTGTAGAAAACTCTAACAATGCAGACCCAAATCAACAACTATTCTGCAACTTTACTGTCGGAAAGTTGTATGAGTGACACTGAAAGGCTAAAAGACTTGCCCCAGGTCACAAAGCCAGGAGGTGCCAAAAGTAGGACCTGAACCCAGGTCTTCCTGACTCCAAGGCTGGTAATCTACTCCCTATGACATGACAGGATTCCTAAAAGTAATGTTAATTCTAAGCTATAGGACAATCTTAATTTTTACAGTCTGAGAAAGATTCTTAGTCATGTGCTGGTCTCTGTGCTCAAAATACTCAAATGGATCTGTGAACAATACCTCCAATAATGTAGATTACAGGGCATCTGTGTCTGTCCATACTTTGAGATTTTTGTCCTAATCTTCCCATAAATTTGTCACAATGGATTCACCTAATGGGCTGGGAATCTTCTTTGTCTGCGCATGACATTTCCAGGATGGCAGTGGAGCAAACAGGCTATCCATTGGTTGACCCTCATCCTTATCACTTGATCAATATATCTTTGTGCAAGAGGTGATATTTGCTTTGAGTAATTAATAGGATTTTTATAGGTAGAGATTGGAATGATGGAAAGTGGGGGGGTCAAGGATGGGGAAGAGAAAGGATTCCAAGTTTGTGGAATGGCATGGGCAAAATGTATTGGCAAAGTATAGTATGATATCAGAAAAAAAGTACAGCTGCAGATGTAAAATTTGGTTGGAGATGAAATAGTGAGAGTCATAAGGCTGGAAACTAGTTTGGAACCAAGCTGTGGAAGACCTAATATATTAGCTTCTAGAAATCAATTCAAAATTCATGTCTTAAAAAATACTATGACTAGTCAGTTGCCCAAAACTGACGACCATAAATGTTCACATTTCTTAAAATTCAAGCATTTTATCCCATCCTGACAGCTAGCAATAACTTGAACATCCTAAAAATTAAATCATCAGAATTGACAATAGAAATAGAAATATACCCCCTGATTAATTTACTATGAGTTGCCCTGCTCTTTGTATTCAAAGTTGAATAGTGATAGGATTGCTGCTACTACCTAGGTCAATACTACACATTTCTGAACATTATTTTTTGATTTGTCAAGTACTTACCATTTGCAGAACCTGCTGTAGGCTCAGCTTCCTGAAAGTTTTGGCCCAGAGTCTTTGAAGAAAATGATCTAACCTGCTCCTTCATGTGGCTTTGGAAACTTGGCTATAAGCCCCAGCCATTGTCTGAAATTCTGCTTCAGGACATTTACCCTGCCATTTCTGGTTGTCCCATTGCAGCTCTCCTTCCAATAGTTGCCTAGGTAGGATAAATTCTGCCACTAAGTCTCTTGCTCACCAATTTTTAAAAATGTGAAAAGGTGAAAGACTTCTGAGTACAGCATTATTATGCCACTAATCTGTTTTTTAAATCCTAATACCTAAGTGAAAGGGGAATCAGTACTTTTTGCTTCTGTCTCCCCAGTAACCACTTTCTCACTCCCACCCTGAAAAAAAAAACAGATTACTCTGAAACCTCATCATTGCTACAAATGATGGCAAAGAATTATTTACCATTTGTCCTTTACAGGAATGCTCCCTAGCAAACAATGACTCCGTTTTTCTGAAGGGTGAAAGAAAAGCACTGGCACTTTCCATCCTGGGACAGTTTTTGGAGGTACAATTACTTGAAAATAAAGAATGGATAGCAGAGAGAATTAGACGATTTGGAGAAACTACAGTAAATTCTGGCTAGTAACATTTCTTCAAAAGATTTTTAAAAGGCTGAAAAGCTGTAGCTACAAAATAACTACAAACAATAAATCCAGGAGGAAAAAAAACACCAAAGCAAGCAGACTGCATGGGACAAACTAATTTTTGCTCATTCCTGAATTCTTACATAACATTCATTCCAATGGGGGGAAAAACCTGATACAGTTTATCTTCACTAAAACTTGAGGTACTGACTCAACGATGTAGGGGGACTGGAAAAGGGAGAGGTAGGGTGTTTTTGCATCAGGTTTCCTTAGCAGAGTTTCTAACTAGAAACAATCTAACCCTTGGCCATGCTGCTAGCTAGGCCACTACCTGGGTATCCCTGGGGAAAGGCGGCTGGAATGAATTCCACTGGGCAGTGATGAAGCAGGAGATAGATATTTCGGTCTAGGTTCTGTTTTTTTTGTTTGTTTGTTTTTTGGTGGGGTTGTTTCTTCGTAAAGGGTTGCAGGGCGAAAGGAACAGGCAATCTGGGGTATCGGGAATCCGGTGCAGGAAAAAAGAGTCGAGGTTGGGGAGTAAAGCACAAAGTCAGGGGCTTAGAGCTGAAAGAAATCTTACAGGTCACTCTTTATGGATGAGGACAGTGATCTGCCCAAGGGTCACACGGGCAGTGCCAGCGACGGGGACCTGAATGCACATCCACTGCCAACCACTTTCCGCTACAGTTGCCCGCCGTTGTTGTATCTTGGAGGGAAGCGTCTCGTTTTCTAGCCTGCTTGGATCTCCCATCCCCCATTCCTTGCACGCCCCTCCCCCACTCCCATCCCCCACCTCCTGGCCTTTTTCCTCCGCCGGGAGGAGATGAATGGTGTTCTGAGTGTTTCACTGGCGCTTTGCACCATTTCTCAACCCCAGGGCCGGCCGGCTGAGGGGCTAGGACCAGGGCCAAGGCCGAACCAGGGCCAGGACCGAGCTAGGGAGATCCTGGAGAGCCCTGGCTAGCTATCTGGTTCTCTCTCCCGCAGAGGTTATTATGCCTGCCGGGAATGCCCCCCCCCTTCTCTGCGGCGAGGTTACCCTCCATTTGGAGAGGAGGAGCTCCGAGGCCATGCACTACGCACGGAGCATGGGCTGGGGTTGGAGCTGCCGCCTCACCTGCAAAGCAAAGCCGCGCCCCTCCCCAGCCTCCACCTGCACAGAAGAATTTCCCCCTTGCGGGAAAACACTCACCTGCGGGCCCCACCTGCACGTCCGGAACTTCTCCTCCAGGAAAATAAATAAATTATGCCTCCTCTTTCCTCTCCTACCCTGCCGTCGTCTTCCCGCCCGCTCTACCTTTCCAGTGTCTCCACGGGTGGCGACCGCTGCCACTCAGCTTGTATCGTTAGGCCATTGGCTCGGAAGGATCTGTCAATCTGGCTGATCTGCCCGCCCCAGGGTTAGCGTCACAATGGGAATCGAACTCACGAACTGTTCCCCGGATTCCTTCTCAGGAATGCTGCTGCTCCAGAATTCGTTATTTCCACTTCTACGCTCTCTCTTTGGTGCACGCCGCTGTCTGTCACAGGAGCTCTCGACGGGGATTGGTCCCCTGCGACATCCGAATCTGTTGGGTTTAAACGAGGTAAAAGCAGCCAAGAGTTCCCATGACCTGGGTTCTTTACCAGCAGGGAGGGGAAAAGTGGGCCTGGGAGTACCCCTTGGTAAAACTGGAGGAGACCAACCGTAGGGTAGATAGAGGAAAGAAGCCCCGGGGGTGAAGTCCGGAGGAAAAGGCCGTGTCCATGGTGTCAGACGTGTCCTATATCCCGTCTTTGGAATGGAACGTCTATACTTGAATCTTTTAGGAAGGGAATCTTATCCAGCATCCTCCATAAAATAAATGGGAGAGGGGAAAATGGTTCTTTCTACTTCACTTTACTCAGTGTTGCTTTTACATGATATATCTTTTTGCCCTTCATTAGTGCTGGTGACCTTGCTGAATGAGAGTTTTGTTCGCATACTCAAAACTAGCGAACCTTTTAAAAAATGTATTGGAGATTGACATACTTTCTGTAAATTACCTTTTAAACTCCTCGAATAGGTGTTTCATGAACACCCACATGCATGAATGGTATTCAGTCATTCTTGTAAACAAATAACAAGAGTAGTGTCTTGAGATCTTTTCTATTTTAAATAGAGAAGAGCCAACTACCAACTTTCTTAGATACAAATTCCTGGCCTGAAAGTTTCCAAGAGGAAATCTTTAAGTTAGCTCAGGCCACTGACAAAGACTAGGTCCAAGGCAGGCACCCAGAGTTAAATGTAATTGGGAGATACTTAACAAATAAAAATGCATTAGAACATAGATAATGTTAATATGTGGGTTTCTGAGTCAATAATGCTTTAGCAGGGATTCTTATGTATGGCTTATGGCCTCATTTCTATTTGATAGCACTGACAAACACATGCTAAGACCCATCTTTGAATTTCTGTGGTTAATACCATAGGCCCAATAATGAACTGGCTAGAATATCCCATGGATATAAAGACCTACTGCCCTTCTGCTGGGGACCCACTGAATACTGTGGAATTAACTTCAGAAAACAAATAGTGAAAAAGTCACTGACCAATAAGCAGTTGGTGATGGGAGAGGAGCTCTGAAGAGAGATTAGAAATGGGTAAGTAGCTCAGATTCTTAAAATCTAGCCAAATGCTGAGATTCTTAATATCTGGCCTGTTTGCAATAGCGATACAAATGTTTAGATTCCTTAAGAGTCTGACCAATATGGCAAATTCTTTAAATCTCATTCACTGCCAATTGATATTCTAATAAAACTTGTCTTTGGCTGAAGGAAGGCTTGGGTTGAATTCATTTGGACAGGAACTGGGTGTTGTGATTTCAGGGTCCTATAACCCCTAAACCTTTAAGCCTCAACACAACCAGCACTGGGATCCGAACCCACCTCTTTTGACTTCAAATGCAGTTCTCTGTCAAACATACCACATTGCATTTCTTACCAGTTATGCTCTGATGTGAAACATATAACCTTCTATTCCCATCTAATATTTTAATGGCATGAATTCTTTAAATATTTAGAGAATATATTTTGACATAAGGCATATGTTGGTGCTTCCAAAACCTATTTTTTTATCAAACTATTTTCTAGTTTTCCTGGCAGTTCTTGTCAAAGAGTCCCTTCCCCAAAAGTCTGTGCTTTTGCATTTATCAAATAAATCTGTCAGCTGCCATTAAAAAAAAATGGATAAGTAGATCTGAGAATCATCTGCATAGAGATAATTAAACCAGTGGGAGCTGATAAGATCACCAAGTGAGATAGTCAAGAGAAAGAAGAGTAGAGGGCTCAGGACAGACACTGGGGGAACATCCATGGATAGTGGATATGACCTGGAGGATAATCCAGCAAAAGATACTAAGAAGCAGTCAGACAAGAAGGAGAAGAGGAGAAAGCAGTGTCTAGAGGCATTGTCTAAATCTAGAGTGAAGAGAGTATTCAGGGAAAAAAATGACCAGTGTCTAAGGTTAGAAAGAGATAAAGAAGGATGATGATGGAGAAGAGGTCATTAGATTTAATGAGTAAGAGATCATTGTTCACTTTAGAGAGAATGGTAAAGTCAAGAAACCAACTGTAGAGGGTTCAGAAGACAGTGCTAAGGCTAGGTGTGATGTCATATGCCTATACTCCCTGCTACTAGAGTCCCTGAGACTAATACTTAAATGTTCAGGAGTTCAGAGTAGGGATAAAACAGATCAGATATCTGTACTAATTCTGGTGTCAACATATGCCTAAGCAGGGGTGAACCAGCCCAGGTCTGAAATAGGATATTAAATCTTTAGTGTAATCAGTAGTGGGGTCAGGCTTATGACTAGGTGCTGAACTTTCAGTATGGGTGAGATAAGAGACTCAGTCAAAAAAAAAAAGTGAGGAAAATGGAGACTTCAGTTGTAGAAAGCTTTCTCAAAGAGGCTAACCATGAAAGAGAAGAAAGATAGTAGCTAGTAGGGGTGGAATGATTAAATGAGTATTTGCTTTGTTTTGAGGTTGGAGGAGACATGTGCATGTTTTCAGGCAGCTGGGAAATAGTAGATTCGGAGAAATTGAAGATTAGTGAGAAAGTGGGGATCACAGAGGAGGCAGCCTATTGGAAAATATGGGATAAAATTGGATCAAGGAAACATACATAGGGATTTGCCTTGGCAAGAAGAGGAGATATGCTTTAAGGAGAAGGGCTAGATTACAGGTTTGGGGAACCTATGGCCCTCTAGGTCCTCAACTGTGGCCCTTTGACCGAATTCAAACTTCACAGAACAAATCTCCTCAATAAAAGGATTTGTTCTATAAAACTTGGACTCGGTCAAAAGGCCGCTCCTGAGGACCTAGAAGGCCACATGTGGCCTAGTGGCCATATATTCCCCAGCCCTGGGCTAGAATCTTCAACCTCTTATGAAGATAAAGATAATGGGAGAAGACATCTGAGCGATTCCAGATGAGGTAAAGGGGCTGACCTCAGTGAATGGCCTTATTTTTTTCAGTGAAATATGAGGCAAGATTGTTAGTTCCAAGGTTTGGGATGGAGGTAGGGTGCTATCAATGGCTTGAGAAGGGATGAAAAAGTGGTTTGGAAAAGCCACTCTGATGAGTGAAATATTGATTTGATTAGGGAGGTGTAAAAAGATTGCCTTGCCACAATGAGGGCCCAATCAAGATTATGTAACACAATTTGTAGTGGACCCACTCAACATGGTTTAGTGATTTTCTCTATCTTCTTTCACTAGCATATATATAGGAAGTAGATAGTGGAGTAAGAAAGTTGAGGGTTGGTTAGCATGATTGTTGATGGGACCTATACGCAAGAGACTTGAGTGTAGGAATAGCACAGAGTTTAACTGATTCACCAAGGGGTTGAGATAGGGAAGGGAAGATATTATAGCCAGTAAAGGGGTGATGGGCTGGGAAAGAACTAAAGGATATGAGAAACAGGGTTAGGGATCATAAGGCAAAGTGAAAGGTAGAATGATACAAGGTTTTGATTAGATAAAGGAATTTTGGAGTTTATGATTATGAAAGTTGAACACTTGTGGGTGATGGCTATGTCAAGGTTGTGACCTTTTTTGTATTTTACTGAGGTAGAGTAAAAGAGCAGGTCACAGGAATGGGTACATTGAAGAACTAGAAAGATAAGATGTTTGAGGGAGTATTAGTGTTATCTGTTGATGTCCCCTAGTATAAAAGCAAGAGTTGGAGTGGAGAGACTGTAAGCCAGGAACTGAATTCACTGAGGAAGAAAGGAGAGTGTCCTAAGGTTTGGTAGATAATAGCTACTAGAATAAGATTTCTATTTCCTAGGCAATGTGACCCTGGAGTCCATACTTTTAGCAAAAGAGGGAGATTTCTTGGGAAGTGTTACAGAGTTTCTTGAAAGTAATCCCAAATTGGAGAATTCAAAGATTACACTTTCTTAAATGAAAAGAGAATTCCCTGAGCAATGTTGCCTCTTGGATGAAGAAGAATTCTGGATACAGCAAAGAAACTGATATGGAAGAAAGAGCTTTGTGAAACAATTGGAGAATCTTCAGTTTCTCTGGAAACTGGGTCGGTACATTTTGTAATAAAATTGATTTTAGAATTAGAAGGTAAAGTAGAGATTAATAGAATCAACATGAGGATGTCAGAGAGGAGCCACAGGTTTAAATCAACTAGAGGTGTACCTGGGATATGCTGGAGCCCCTCTAGCAGGCTTTGTAGAGCGTACTCTTAAATTTTCAGAATGATGGAAAACTGGCAGTCTTTACAAATCAGGATTCGATTTATTGTTTTGTTGATTGTCTAGACTTAAGAAAGTATTAGTAAACCAGATTAACTTCTTAAATGCAAATTAATCTTAAAAGTGTATTGCATAATACTCTTCCTCCCCACCCCCCCCAGGTCCTTTATTTACTACTATCCCACTCAGATGAGTATTCACCAAACTAGAGGGCAGGAAGTTCATATATCAGTGATCATGGATTCAAATCATTTGAGACTACTTGTTATTAATGAGAAATGTGGGATATGGTGTATGAAAAATCCAAGGAATGTGGGTTGCACCCACACCCAAGGGTAGCATCCTATAAAATTGAGCGTAGTTAACAAAGATCTTCAGATCCTGATACATCTATTACTTAGTAAAAACCGTCATAGGGATTTGAGTTAAGTGACTTGGCTAGAGTCACACAAAGCTAGGACACTTAACCAAGTTGGAATTTGAAACTAGGTCTTCCTGACTCAAAGTCTAGCACCATATACACTATAGCAGCCTGTTTCTTAACAAATAAAACAGAAAGATAAACAAGAAAGAAAATACAGATCTGGAAAAGAACATTTAAAAATTAAGTCCACTAGACCTTTGGTAATTGAGTAGAGATATTAAAGGCAATGCTTATTTTTCATCATCTCAGGGCACCCTAGGAAGAATTGATAAAGTAGAAAAATTACATTCATACTTTGTTGTTGAGTTGTTCCAGGCCTGTCTCACTCTCCATGACCCCATTTAGGGTTTTCTTGGCAAAGATACTGGAGTGATTTGCCATTTCCTTCTCCAGCTCATTTTACAGATACGGAACTGAGACAAACTTGCTAAGTGACTTGCTTGCCTAGGGTCACATAGCTATTAAGTATCTGAGGTCTGATTTGAACTCAGGTCCTCCTGACTCCAGCTAGCTGGTCAAATTCATACTTTACAGAACATACTTATAATAGCAATTATTATCGAGAAATGTGAACAAAATTGCAAAACTAAATGTCAATTAAATAAGGACATGCTAATGAGTGGATTAAAGAACAAATTGCAACAATAAAAAATTATTACATTAAAGGCAATAACAATAGACAACAACCTAAAATGTATGTAGGATGCAACTAAAGCACTTTTTATTGTTATTCATATCTATATGTTTATTTATTGTATATTCTCAAAGAAGAAAAAAAGAGATTAAGGAGTTAAAATACAATTTAAAAACTTGTTAATCAACAAATTAATTCAAAATCAAGCAGAAATGTTAAAATTTAAAGGAGATAAAAATAGAAACAAAAATGTTGAACCAATAAGCCAAATTGAGTGTTTTTAAAATCAAGAAAAAATGTCATTGGCTATGTTTTTTTTATGAAGAGAGGAAAACCAAATTACTATGATAAAAAATCAGGGGAGGAGGGAAGTTAAAAAATAAATGGTTAGAAAATAAAGTTATGTGAAACTCCTGTGCTTAATGATATACCAACAACTGAAAACTTAAATGAAATCTACAAAAAAATTGATGCCTAAAAATATATATCCACAAACCCCCCCCCCCCATAAAAATCAACGAAGCAAGCAAAAGTACTTTTATGTATTTGGGGTTGAGTGACTTGCCCAGAGTCACACAGCTGAGGCCGGATTTGAACTCAGGTCCTTCTGACTCCAGGGCTGGTGTTCTATCCACTGTGCAACCTACCTGCCGGCAAAAGTACTTTTTAAGTACTTTTTTCATGTACTAGGTACTATTTATGTACTAGGCATTGTACAAAGATCTAGAGATACAAAGGAAAGGCAGCAACTGTCTCTGCCCTCAAGGCACTTATAGGGAGATGATATCCAGGGTGTTCTAAAAGTCTTAGTGCAACGGCACTACGTTGCTAGCAGT